TACTTCCCTTACACACTCAATAAACATATACCGACCCATGCATCCACACACACAATCATAAAAGAAAGAATAAGCGTCTGCACATCTCGCATGTGTTTGCAATTACATGTATCGGCCTGCACTCAGCCTGAGTTCTGTCGTATCGACTGCATATTTACTGCAGCTGCTTCATTTGCCAGTTAATTGCTGCGGTTTGTGAGCCACTGAGAGACTCGCATGTGTATCTGGGGGTGGATGATTTTTGAGTGTGTTTAGACAAATACTCGAACGTCTCTCATTATTCATCTCTGAATCTGAATTGGAGTTGTTTTCATTGCAGAGAACAAATCAAACGTGGCCATGTCAAACTCTGTGTCGGATCTTCCCTCTCTCAGAGCAGCTGGTAAACTCATTCACTGCCAGACAGATAAAACCTCAGCTGCTGTAAACACACATTTAACATGTTTAAACTCTGTTTTACACTGTAAAACTTGATGAAAATTTGCTGAAAATGTACTCAGGCTGCTTAGGCCGTCCAAGATGTAGATACGTCTGTTTCTTCTTTGAGAAATTTTGAATTACATCTTTTGCTCACCAATGGATCCACTGCAGTGAATGGGTGCCGTCAGAATGAGAGTCCAAACAGCTCATAAATACATCACAGTAATCCACAAGTAATCCACTTGACGCCAGTCCACATGTTTGATAGAAACAAATCCATCATTAAGAGGTTTTTAACGTTGCTTCCAGCTAAAATGAGTCCTTTATCCATAACATTGCTTCCTCCCGTGAGAAATGGCTTTCTCCACTGTTTGTATATATATTTGCTGATAAAACCCACAAATGCTCCCAATAAAAGTGGTTGAGGTGGTCCGCTGACTGTGCACATTAGGGTAATAGGCTACTTTAGGCTTTAATTGCTCTGATGGTAGTAAAATTTCTTATTATGGAATTTACATATGGATGATTTGCATGATTAATTTGTTCCATTTTTATTCCATATATATGTGTTAAAATTGCTGGATTCAATTAATTAATTGGACTTAAACCTACTTCTTCTATATGCACTAACTGCTATGCCACAGCTCCACCTACACATTTCTAATGCTCAGCTGGGGTAAGCTCAGGTTTAGCACTCTCAGATGAGTGTGTTCACTTATTGTAACAGGACTACATGAGATACACTTAGAGGAGAAGATTATAGGAGCTATAGGGAAGCATTTTCTTTTTAATCTTGTATATAATTCTAGGACGGGGTGGGAGGGAGTGAAATCTGTCAAGCCATGGGAAATAGAAGGAAAATGTGCATTAAAGGAGCTCTCTTTTTCCCTGGCTTCCTCTCATGCATATAAGAAATCTTTGAAATCACAGAGAAATGTAGCTGCAAGGACAGTTTCTATTTGCATGTCCCCTACAGAGCCACATCGATAAAACAAGAACTTAGGTTGCGTGTTCAGTATGTGTGCCCACAAGCATGTACATTTTTTATGTGCCACATTTCCTTTGACAGTCATTTTGGTAAACTCTCTACAAGAGAATGTCATGTTTAAAAAAACACCCTGTGAAAACAAGCAGCATCCAATTATCCTTAATCTGGCTTTGGTGATTGTTTGACTAGAGTGGTATGATTGCTGATTATGTGGGAAACTCATCATTTAGGCATTGTGCAGCCTCCATAAAGAGTCTGGAATGATTCAGGGGTGAAAGTCAATGGAAGATTCCCTTAAGCGGAGCAGGACAGCTAATTAAAATAAAAATGCAAGTCAGCTCTGCATAATGACTGTACATTAAGCGCCTTAATTTTTTCTTCGTTTTGAATGTGTTTGTGTTAGCAGTTTCTGCTTTTGGTTTCTTCTTGCGTGATCGTTGGTGCTTCAGGCTAATTACCAACTAAGGCCTGTTATGACAATTCAGTATACTGCACAGGCGGATGAACAGTTCTGTTCACAATGTGGTTTGAGGAAACAAATAAAATGCTCATGTTTGTGTCAGAAATGGCATCAGAACTTTGTGAGTACTTCAGAATCCTGGCCTAGCAGTAAGCTTGAAAGTTGCAGACATGTTGAAATCTAGTTTGATTTACTGTTTTTCAATAAAAAGTCACAAAATAACCCAAAAGTAAACTAAATTACGTTAACTGAAAGTGATTATGTTGAAAAACAAAATGTACTGCAAAAATGGGGGAAAAAAATCTTAAAATCATTGAATTGCATAGAAAACGATTGATGAAAACAAAATTATTCTTAGCAGCAGATAAGAATAAGTCTGATGAATTATTTCTTGAACTGAATTCTTTAGAATGGTTACTGAATTAACATCTGTTTCACTTACTGAAATTTCTTTTTTTGTATGTACATTAATATATACATTTCTGAACATTAAATATATTAATGTATTTAATGCAAAGTCTAAGACTGCATTTATTCAATCAAAAATACAGTAAAACAGAAATATTACTACAATATATATATTTTTTCTTTTGTAATGTATGTTGAAATTTCATGTGATGCAAATTTTCAGCAGCCACTACTTCAGTCTTCAGTGTAATATGATCATTCAGATATCATTCTATTATGTTGATTTGCTGCTCAAGAAACATTTCTGATTAATTATCTTGAAAACAGTTTATTAGTTTTAAGGAATCCTTGATGCATTTTTTTTTTTAAGATTCTTTGATGAATAGAATGTTCAAAAGAACCAAATTAATTTAAAATATAAATGGTGTGTAACATTATAAATGCTTTTACTGTCACTTTTGACCAATTTAAACTTTTCTTACTGAGTAAAATATTAAATAAAAGTCTAAAAGAAAAGACCCTACATTTTTTAACGGTAGTGCATGTGATTCAAAATAATCTCCGACTGATTGTCCAATGTGCCATTAAAGATTTAAGACAGATAAATATTGAATAAATTGTGAACTAACTCCCCAGCTGTCCTTCACTGGGTCTGTTATGAGTCATAATGTCATTTTGTTTATCCAACCAAGTTCAGCCTCCTGCCCTTTCACCAGCTGACAACCCGAGCTAAGGTCAGGCAGTCACAGAATCAGAAAAAAATTCCTGTGTAATATTTCATTCTGAAATCAATCTCTACCTCTGTAAATAGCGACATGATGAGGCTTCATCATTTATTAAGGTGCTGCCTGTTCTCTACAGTCACTCTGTCTTCAATATTTCTGTGCAAACCTGCGAGTCTCTTCCTCACGCGCGTCTAAAGTAGTCAGATGTCACGAGCTGCGTGGGCCGTCCTCTCTCAATAAAAGATGAGCTGCCTCTCATGAGAGAGATTCAGCACGTGGCGTCTCCCGCCGTGCTGAGTCAAGTCAGACAAACAACATGGAGGGCTCATCAAACACCGTTCCAATATATCTCCACAGCAAATTTGCAGAGATGTAGTAGATGGAAGATAGACAGCATCGCACTTTTAGATAAAGCCCTTGTGGTTACCGAGAAAGACTGACAGAGACAGAGATTGTGTCACAGGTGGTAACCCTAGCAAAACCGGTGTCTTATTCTCTTATTTTCTCTCCAAATCACTTTCGCTGATATCCCAAAGGACCTCAGGCAGTGCCGCCCAATGCTGCACATCTCTGAGCGCTGCTCTCTGCTGTTTACCGGCTGCCCAAATCCTCTCTCTCTCTGCAACTTTCTGTACCTAAAAGCCTCCCATTCCCTGTCCACCCCTTATATTTTCCCAGCTGTTTTAACAGTGAGAGATTGATTACTTTGACAGAGGTAGTGATTACCGTGCTGTCAGTCTCAGTGGGCTTCCAGAGTGAATATTTACCTGGGAGAAATTCAATCAGTCAGGCAAATGCCATTCACCCACTACTTTAATCTGCTCCAGGATTCAATTAGAGATCGACTCCACCTACCTGTGGGCGTCATTTTAGTCGCTGAGGTGAAAGGGGAGAAAAAAGCGAAATGGTTTCTTGAAGTGTACAGTATTAGAAAGCAGCAACAAACAGTTTTTGTGGTGTATATGATCGTTTATGTATGCATGTGCACGAACCGTCATCTAAAGTGCAATGGCTTGTAGACTTCACTAATTGTGCTAATTGTAAATGGCCTCAGATGCAGAACCTTAATGGATTTTCCTTGTGTTTTTCTTGGGTTCTTCCACCTGACCGAGCCATGACTGAGTGCTTTATCTTCACATAGCATAAGCAGAGCTGACTAATTACAATGATGTTCAAGATTTCAAAGCCAATTGTGTTAAAAAAAAAATAATTCACTTAAATGGAAACACAGTTTCAGAGCTTAATTGCTTTTGCCAGCACAGGTGTTATAATGTCCAAAGCTTTCTATTCTTTTCTTTTTCAGCTCAAAAACCACAAAAAGTAACTGCATCAATATGTGATTTAAGAACAAGAATAACTAAATATATAAGTGAAATGCTAAATAAAAGTACAATGGTATGCAAATAAAAAGAAGGTGAAAAGAAGAATAAATAATAATAGAAGAGGGTACACAAACAATGATGAATTGTGATTTATTTGCTATTCTGGGTAACACTTTATTTTAAGGTGTGTAACCTTGTTACACGTTACATGTACTAACTATTATAATAACAATAAATTATGCATAACTACATGCAAGTAGCCCAAAGCCAACCCCAACCCCTAATCCTAACCCTAACCATATAGTAAGTACATTTAGTAAGTAGTTATTTAATATTACTCAATACTTAAATGTATAATTACACTGTAACAAGGACACCTTAAAATAAAGTGTAAGCCAATTCAGTTATTTTTTTATTAATCAATTTACAACCTTGATTAATATATCATGGCATTACTGACAAAACACCTAAGCATATTAAAGCTTATTTCTAAGTAGCATATTGTAAAACCAGGTGTTTTGGGACAATGGTTTGTAGGTGCTGTTTATCATTTCAAGCACTAGATGGCAGTAAAGTGACCTGTTAAGAAAAGCTTGCCTATTTTCAGTACATATTGAAACCCTCATTGCATCAGACATAACTTTTCACCATCACTAACTATTATTTTTGCCTTTCAGGTCCGGCTCTGGTAGGTGTGGTGAGAAAAGACTGGGCATCTCAAACTAGTATCGCCCTCTCCTGGCAGGAAACTGAGCAGCCGCATGCTGTCATCCTGGACTACGAGATCAAGTATTATGAAAAGGTTACTCACCAGCTTCGTTTATAAATCATTAAACGCTTCTCAGAGGTGGCATAAATGCATTTACACATCAATTATATCCGTATACTTTACTTATACTTTACTTTATTGCTGGCATACTTTACTCAGATTTTTATGTGTCATTATTGTCTTTATTTATCATAATTTTGAGTAGGCAAAGAGCAGCCTAAACTCAGATGTGTAAAGATGCCTTAAAACTGAAAACATCAGTTACATAATGAACAGTATGCTAAATGAAGATTCTTGTTTTCTTTCTACCTTTATATTTATAGGAACAGGAACAGTTAAGTTACTCCTCTACACGTACGAAGTCTCCGAGCGTGATAGTGGCCGGACTAAAGCCCTCCACGGTTTACGCTTTCCACGTGCGTGCTCGTACCCTCGCCGGCTACAGCAGTTACAGCCCCAAGTTTGAGTTCGCCACAGGAGACGAGAGTAAGGGTTTCTCTAAAAATGCCTAATTTCAATACCTGTTAGCCTAAAACACTGTAGTTGCGCTCAGTTTTCTGAGATGGTGGTCATACCATGTCAACGACAAGAGTAGAGTTTTAAACAGATTTTAGAAGGGAACATTATATGTTTATTGTGATTGACTTCAGTGCTGTGTGATTTCAGTTCTGCTTTTTGGCTTATCTTAGTGCACCGTATGTATTTAAAGACCCACCAACCATTCTCCTGGCATTAAATCTATTTCTGAGACTGATAGAAGCCCCACTGACCGACCGAATGTAAACTTGAAAGTGACTTCATTGTTTTGTGCTTCTTTCTCTTTCTTTCTCCCTCTCTTGCTCTTTCATGTGCACACACACACACTTTCACTATGTTAGACTCTGAGGAGGCAGCTGATCAGGGCCAGGTGTTGGTGATTGTTACAGCCACAGTGGGGGGCTTCTCTCTCCTCATCATTCTCACCCTCTTCCTTCTCATCACTGGCAGGTAATAAGGGAGCAAATAATAAGGGGGCAGGTAAATATGCTCCAGGATAGATGAACAGATGTTGTGTTTATATGCATTTGCTATCTATCTATCTATCTATCTATCTATCATCTATCTGTCTGCACACACACACTTTCACTATGTTAGACTCTGAGGAGGCAGCTGATCAGGGCCAGGTGTTGGTGATTGTTACAGCCACAGTGGGGGGCTTCTCTCTCCTCATCATTCTCACCCTCTTCCTTCTCATCACTGGCAGGTAATAAGGGAGCAAATAATAAGGGGGCAGGTAAATATGCTCCAGGATAGATGAACAGATGTTGTGTTTATATGCATTTGCTATCTATCTATCTATCTATCTATCTATCATCTATCTGTCTGTCTGTCTGTCAGACCATAAACTCAATATGTTATGTAACAGTTGTAGCTTTAAATTAAGTAATGTGCAAAACTGAATCTATCTATCTATCTATCTATCTCTGTCTGTCTGTCTGTTTGTGGATGTCATGGATATGTCTTTTCTTTCATTCACTCATTTACCCTTAATTTAGCTCCTTGCTTATCCAGCCATCTCCTAATAGGCCTGTTGGCCACGGAGCACCTTCCTATTTTCCGATTGGCTGAGCCATGTCGCTGCCTAATTAGTCGGAATGCTGCAGCCTCCCGGCAGCGGCCGTGTCTGCTGCCATGAAATGGCCTGCTGTGAGACTGACAGCAAGCTTAAACATGCCACACGGTCCTGCGATTCGCAATATCAGCATGTGCAGTGCGCTGTGTGAAACCTCACTCAGCCAGCCCCTGTGCCATCACATCCTCGCACAGCTGCAGGGGCTGATGGCACCGTGTTCAGCTGCTTGTGCAGATTTGCAGGGAGGCTGTTGTGAGCAGCTCTCAAATAAATCAAGAGCTCTTGATGACGGACAGAATCAGTGTCTTCATTTCTCGAAAAACAGAAATTAATTTACAATTGAACACTCTTGAGTTGTTTTGCCTGGAGGAGCATTATTTTAATTTCAACATTTGAGGGGCTGTTCAGCCATGTGTCTTGAGTCTTTCTGGTTACCGATCTTGATTCAGCACCGTGGACAGGGACACTGGCTTCAGAACCATGGACAGCGCTGAAGTCTCTAATTGTGTTATGTAACGTACATCAACAAAACCATTGATCAATTACATTTTTACATTCTTTTTATTTGAACAGGTGTCAGTGGTACATAAAATCTAAGATAAAGTCAGAAGACAAAAAAAGAACACAGTATCAAAATGGGCATGGTATGAGACCTTAATTACACACTCACTCACATACTGTATATTCATATTTTAAATGTATTCAGGAGAAAAAAAAATACAGATTTCAACCTTTGACATGTTTTTTATAGTGCCATTCCCAGGATTAAAGACTTACATTGACCCGGACACTTACGAGGACCCCTCACAGGCCGTTCATGAGTTTGCCAAGGAAATCGATCCATCTCGTATCCGAATCGAAAGAGTCATCGGAGCAGGTCAGAGCTCTTTTTATAGCTCACTTCAGTCTGATACTCAGTAGCCCATAATCTACTCCTGCTATTTCTGCAGCAAGATATAAAATGAAAATGTGTCATGAGTTAAAAATAAATTGGTTAGAAGATAAAGTTCTTAAAAAATGTTTTTTTTTTTTTTTTAAACTGCTTCAGATTTCTTCTCTCCTTTAGTCTCTAGATCTAGGCTCTGGTTTCTCTTATGTGTCGAATTAAAATATATTTCAGATCATTTTCACAGTTAGGCTCTTAAATGCCTCTCTGAAAAATCACTTTGTTGTTCTCAGAAGACAAAATGATTAGAATCTAATCTTCAGTGAGATAAGTAGGAAATAATTCAATGTGAAATCATTGCCACGAGGAGAAAGAACCCTTGTAAAGAGACCTGTGAAGTTTGATATAGTTTGACTGCCACCTAGTGTTTAGTAAATACAAATGCAAGCAGTAACCCTAAATGTTATGACAGTGAATATGGACTCGAGTGTATTCTGCAGGCGAGTTTGGGGAGGTGTGCAGTGGCCGGCTCCGTATCCCAGGAAAAAAGGAAATTCCTGTGGCTATAAAGACTCTGAAGGGGGGATACACTGAGCGTCAGAGACGGGATTTCCTGCGAGAGGCAAGCATCATGGGACAGTTTGATAATCCTAACATCATCAGACTGGAGGGTGTGGTTACAAAGAGTAAGAAACGTTTTGCTTTCTTTTTGCCTTCTGAAGATTTAAACAGCTGTATAATATATCCATGATAATACCATTCAAATGTCTGATGTCAGCCAGATCTTTTTTGAAAGAAGTCTCGTATGCTCACAGAGGTTGCATTTATTTGATCATAATACAGTAAAAACAGTAATAATGTGAATTATTATTACAATTTAAAAGAACTTTTATGAATTTGAATATGTTTTAAAATGTAATTGATTCCTGTGATGGCAAAGCTGAATTTTCAGCAGCCATTACTCCAGACTTCAGTGTCTAATGATCATTCAGAAATCATTCTAATATGTTGATTTTCTGCTTGAGAAACATTTCTGAGTATCAATGTTTTCAAGTATCAATCAGTTTAATATTTTTTATGGAATCCATAATACTTTTTTTTCTTTCATGATTATTTGATGAATAGAACGTTCAAAAGAACAGCATTTATTTAAAAAAGTATTTTGTAACATGAATGTCATTATTATTACTTTTAATCAATTGATCAATTAATGCATCCTTACTGAATAAAAGTTATAATTTCTTTCAAAAAATGTGTTACTTAGCCTAAACTTTTGAACAGTAATGTGATATCCTTCAGTAATGAGTTTAATGCAACTCTATGTCTGAATAGCATGGCAGGGCATAAACAAATAAATGCATAAATAAAACAGATAAGGAAATCGTGAAGTATTTGTCACGAATCCGGTCCATGAACTTCCGTCTGTTCGCCACCAGAGGTCACTCTTCCACTACTATGGACTCTTACACTACACCACTGTTGCACTTCACCCGGACTACAGTTCCCATCATCCACTGCACTGATTACACACACACAGTTGATTGCACACAGCTGTAATCAATCACACATTCCCTATATAACACTCACTCTGATCCTTTCCCACTGCTGAGTATTGTTTAGCGAATATCATTGTTTAGCTGATAGCTACCTTACGGAGCCTGCTTAGTTTTCCTAGCCTTAGCGGAGTCTTGCTTTGTCTGTTTTCCTATGTTCTGATCTTTGCCTGTGTACCTGGATTTATCCCTCTAGTCTCGCCCTGTTGGATTCAGTTCACCGTCGACTGACCCTTGCTTGTTTACCGGATTGCCCTTGCCTTGTCTTCTCCATACCAGCCATAATGGGGATCGCTTTATGGAGTGTATGGGCTGCATACACCAACACTGAGACTCTTGAAACAGCGGCGCCTACTATGATGTTTCCAAAGGTGGCGGCTGATGCTGCAGAACCTCCCAAGGTAGTGGAGTTCGCTGCTGTTTCCCCAGAGGTGATGGCGCCTGCTGCAGCTTCTCCAGAGGTGGCGGCGTGTGTTGCAGAACCTCCTGAGGCGGCGGCGCTCGCTTCAACTCCTTGTACGTTGGTGGCGCCCAGCAAGGCACTCGCAGCCTGTCATGTCATAGTCACAGGAACCATTACTGAACTCTTCCCGTATCCCGATGGTCCTACTGTAGAACCTCCAGAGGTGGTGGCATCCGCTGCAGAACCTCCAGAGGTGTCAGTGGTATCCACTTATGAACTCTCGTCCTGTTCTGTTCTGGCCAAGGAGGCCATCTATGAACTCGCTACCTGTCCTGTCACAGCTATGAAGGCCGTCAGTGAACTCTCTGACAGTTCGGTCACGGCTTTCCGCCTGCTCTGTCGTGGTGGTCCTCACTTCCACCCATACTGCCACCCATACTGCCATACTCGCCACCAGAGGTCACTCTTCCACTACTATGGACTCTTACACCACACCACTGTTGCACTTCACCCGGACTACAGTTCCCATCATCCACTGCACTGATTACACACACACAGTTGATTGCACACAGCTGTAATCAATCACACATTCCCTATATAACACTCACTCTGATCCCTTCCCACTGCCGAGTATTGGTTAGCGAATATCATTGTTTAGCTGATAGCTACCTTACGGAGCCTGCTTAGTTTTCCTAGCCTTAGCGGAGTCTTGCTTTGTCTGTTTTCCTATGTTCTGATCTTTGCCTGTGTACCTGGATTTATCCCTCTAGTCTCGCCCTGTTGGATTCCGTTCGCCGTCGACTGACCCTCGCTTGTTTACCGGATTGCCCTTGCCTTGTCTTCTCCATACCAGTTTGCCATTGTCTGACCCATGCCTGTTTCTGACCACGCCTTTGAAATAAAGTTTGCAAATGGATCCGTACGTCTCACGTCTTGTCTGCCCTGTTACAGTATTGCTATTGATCATTGAGGATGCGAATTGTCTGAATGAAACTGATTACAGAATAACTTGGATCATCATCAGCCAAAAGCTGTTTTCTCTCTCCAAGAAACAAACATGTTTCTCCGCCAAGTTTGATACACTCACAGCTTTGGTCTGACATGCAGACAATCACTGATTTCATGCTATAAATCAAACTACCTGCAACCTCCAGAAAAAAAAAGCAAAAAACTCTCAGTGTATGATTCTAGAGTTATGTCATGTCTTTCATCTGTTTGGAACTACCATGCTTCTATAGATTAACTAAGGCTGTTTGGAGAAGTTAATTAAAATGATAGAGGTACTACAGATGTTACTGTAGCAACATTATACACTAGTTTCATAGAAACTAAGCACTGATAATGAAGGAAAAAGTGAACTTTTGGGTTTGACTTGTAGTCATGCAAAGACACAGTCGAGTAATGTGGCAATGTCTGTCCCATTTCCCTCTGTTTCTTTCTGTATAACCTAGTCCATTACTTACAGGTGTCCTGTTTTCCTCTTTGTAGGTCGGCCTGTGATGATAGTGGTGGAATACATGGAGAATGGCTCCTTGGACTCTTTTCTGAGGGTATACAATAACTCAATTCATTAATATGGCACACCACACCTGACATTGCTCATAAACATGACTTATCCAGAGAGAGCATTTTCTAATTTGCCAGCAAATCAATAGTTGATATGAAATGCTTTTAGAAAGTTGACATGTCATGCGGTGTGACTGTCTAAAACAGTGGTTCTCAACCAGGGGGCTGGGGTCCATTTGGGGTCTGCAGCAAACAAAAAACAAGCAATAAAATAATCCAAAATGACTAAAAATTCAGATATTTTGGTATACTTTAGTATAGGGACCAATTAACTAGTTGCTTACTAGCAAGCCTATTATTAAAGGGACAGTTTACCCAAAAATGAAAATTCTGTCATTAATTACTCACCCTCATGTTGTTCCAACCCCATAAGACCTTCGTTCATCTTCAGAACACAAATTAAGGTATTTTTGATGGAATCTGAGTGCTCTCTGACCCTCTATAGACAGCAAGGATCCTTACAAGATCAAGGTCCAGAAACATAGCAAGGAGATCGGTAAAGTAATCCATGTGACATCAGGGGTTCAACCATAATTTTAGAAGCTACGAGAATACTTTTTGTGCGCAAAAGAAAAAAAAAAAACGACTTTATTAAATTTGTCTCCTCCACATCACCCTGGTGCCATTTTGGAGTTTGCTGTTTTGTGTCAGCTGCGTCACGTGGATACTTTTTCTATGTTGTAGTTTAATACATGTTTATTTACCAAGCAAGCTGCGCCAAGCTCTAAGATATTTTGTAAGGTAGAAATGGTGAGTAAAAAATTGTTTTAAAAATTCGTATCCAGTAAATCTCAAACTGGAAAAGCCATGAAGTCTTTAAATATTGTTCAAAGTCATCAATTGGACTCAAAGTCGTTTGTAAAAAAACAACTTATACAAGTCATTAGTTCAGGAATTGGACTACATTGGTTACTGTATATAGTAGATCGGTAACACTTTAGAATAGGAAACAGTTATTCACTATTAACTACGACTTTTCCCTCAATAAATTCCTAATTTGCTGCTTATTAATAGCTAGTAAGGTAGTTGTTAAGTTTAGGTATTGGGTAGAATTAGGAATGTAGAATAAGGTCATGCAGAATAAGGAATTAATATGTGCTTAATTACTACTAATAAATGGCTAACATTCTAGTAATATGCATGCTAATAATAAGCAACAAGTTAATAGACCCTAAAATAAAGTGTTACCAGTAGATCCACTAACATTGTAATGTAGTGTTGAATAGTAGTGCCTTCAAGAACTGTAAAAAGAATTGAATGTCAAAAAAGGAACCAGGAATTATTTAATTAATTTGTTTGTTTGTTTGTTTGTTTATTCATTCATTCATTCTTGGTTATCAGTTCTCAACTGATACTGAATTTCACTGAGAGACTACTCAATATTTGTTCTTTCCTCAATTTAAAATGAACTACTCAAAGCTATAAGGTTAATAAAAAGAAAAACGAAAAATCATTCTTAGCATCTATGTATTCATCAACTACTATCCAAACTAGGGGTGCTCCGATCAGGATTTTTGATCACAGAAAGCAGTATCTGCCCATACCGATCACCGATACCGATCTTTTAAAGCCTTCTTTTTATCATTTATGCCTATTTATAGTGATACTCCAATCTGGATTTTTAGACATTTATTCAGGGCCCGAATTTCATTTTTGAAAATGGGGGAGTGACTCTTTTGAGAGGGGAAGCAGCACGGACTGTGCTTTCACACAGGAGTCCGCTACTGATCCGTTGCTGTTTACTACCTACAAACACAACATTTATCCATTAGTTTGATTTCAACTCCAAACATTGTCACTGAAAATACTTTTTCAGCATTGCAATTATTTTTTTACACAGCACAGTAATACAATCTTTCACTGACATGTTTAAACACAATAAATATAAGCAACACATTATTCAATGCTCAGTAGACTTTAATTATATGCATTTATGGTGTACTTACTACATTTTTGTGTCAATCCATGTTTATATTTACTGCAAACAATGCGCTGTTACTTTAATTCTTCGCTAGTGGTAACACTGGCACGAATTACAAAGTAATGCAATTTATAAACTCACAAGGTTTTCACATTACTTTATAAGTTATTTAATGAAGAAATATGAAGGTGAGTACCTCACCTTCAGCATTATAATTATTTCACCTGCCCCGGACAGAGACTGACACGTGCCGCTGCATGTCATGCCAAACCACTCACGGCAGCGTCATCAGCTTGAGATCGGTTTTTAGAGACCGCCGTTCAATCATCCCAACGTGATTATCGGCCGATAGTGATCGGTAGCCGATCAATCGGAGCACCCCTAATCCAAACACAAGCGTTAAAGGGATAGATAGCAAGGGATATTTTGATAGCTCCGCCCCACACATATGTATGCAACCCAGGCAACGATTAGTTCTGTGAAACAAAGCAAAACCAATGTTACACTGTGTCTACACCGGAAAAATACTATAGAACTCATTATAATCAGTGATGCTGTCTACACTGGATGCGGCACGGTGCGGCACGACAAATCCCCGACAGAAAACTGCTGCTGCGTTCTATTTATGACGTATTGACACAAATTTCAAATGATTTTCAATGGTCGCTTTATCGCGTCCAGTGTAGACAGACTTTAGCTGTTGCGGCGCGGCGTGACAACTGTCGCGTCCAGTGTAGACACGGTGTTACTCACCTATCTAGAAGAAACAAAGCAACCTCGGCATCCGATCGCAGGCCTTCCGCTCCTTGAGTTCTCTCCAGCGCTGGAAAGCTGACCCGATATTTACACGGGTCCTACTTCTTGCCTTATCGTAAGCTTCTTTAATTCTGCAGATGTTTTTCTCTTTTGTTTTTTATCCGCCATCTCTATCTTTCTGTCGCTCGGCTCTGCTAATGTCCGTCCTGTGCACTGAACGTTCTCTCCTCCACATCATGAGTAGACACGCCCCTTACTGCTGATTGGCTACAAGTTTATTTTGGTACTTGGCCCGACTCAGTTTTCTAAAGCGTTTTTGAAAAAATACATACCCCACATTTAATGTTATGAAGTGAATACTTTTTTGTGTGCAAAGAAAACAAAAATAACTTTATTCAACAATTTCTGCTGTCAGGTCTGGTTTAAAGGTGAATATTTTTATTGTTCATTGTGATAAACCTCTCTATCCCTTTTTCTTGTCTGTCCTCCTCTTCTCTTCTCTCCTCTTTTGTAGAAGCATGACGGACACTTCACCGTGATCCAGCTGGTTGGTATGCTGCGTGGCATTGCCTCAGGTATGATGTACCTGTCCGACATTGGCTATGTCCACCGGGACCTGGCAGCTCGAAATATTCTAGTGCATGACAACCTGGTGTGTAAGGTGTCGGACTTCGGTCTGTCCAGGGTGCTGGAGGACGACCCGGAGGCAGCTTACACCACCACAGTAAGCCACATGCACCCGCTTCAGTATTGGTTCATTTAAATTCAGGGCCGTTCAGAGTTAATAACAATCTGTGCTCCTTAGACAGCCAAAGCTGATCCAGAATCTCTGGAGCTTAGCACTACTCTGCTCGTCGTGTGTTAGTGAATGGGATTGAGTTTATCTAAGCAGTATAACATGAGATTAAGGGCTTACTCTGAGGAGTGATTGAGCAATTTGATTTATAATAAGATGCTAAATGTGTCTGAATACATCTGAACTTTTTGTTACAGGGGTCTGAGTGTGTCATTTTATACACTTATATTCCAAGAAAAGCTCAATTATGACTCATCATTACATAACAAGCAATCTCCTTTGATTGTCTAGGAAATGCAGAGTGATGCTGCTTGCTATTATAATAAAAAGAAAAGATTTTGTTTTGTCAGGGGGGTAAAATCCCCATCCGCTGGACCGCTCCCGAGGCTATTGCCTACAGAAAGTTTTCCTCAGCCAGTGATGCTTGGAGCTACGGTATTGTCATGTGGGAAGTCATGTCATATGGAGAAAGGCCCTACTGGGAGATGTCCAACCAAGATGTGAGTCACTTGGTCTATTCTAATTCTACTAAATTTTGAACAATAGAGTTTTCTAAGGCAGTTTTTCTGAGCAAAATGTATTTCAGATTTGTTTAGGCAAAATATATGTTGTAAACATAATTCAATATTTTTCAATTTCTGTTTCGTGTAAACTTTCAAATGCTTTATTACAAATATTACATATGTATTTTATATATATATATATATATATATATATATATACATAAATAACTACATGTGTAAAAAATGTAAATATACCCAAAAAATTTCACATTTACTAAATTACAAATTCTAAGAAATTCAACAAGTCATAGCATTATTATCAAAATACACACACACACACACACACACACACAAAAGATGCTTTGCAAATAAGCTAATATATATATATATTATTGTTTTTTTGTGTATTTTGATAATAATGCTATTACTTGTTGAATTTCTTAGGATTTGTAATTTGGTAAATTACTAAGGAAGCTTGTTTCTGCCACAGAATTTAAAAAGTAAATTAATTCATTCATTAATTAACTAATTTAGATAGATAGATAGATAGATAGATAGATATTAAATAATAATTTACGTCTCAAAAGTTTTAAATTCAGAATTGTGAGGTAAAAGTCAATAAAAACTAAATTCATTTATTCATTCATTCATCCATTTAGTTATTTATTTTATTTTTATCCCATGGCAGAAACAAGCTTCCATAAGTTGCACCTTTAATTCCAATGTAAATCAACTTCCCTTAGCATGTGGCCTAATTTAACTCAAAAACATATATTCTGTTAAATCGCAACATGTGGAACTCCTTGTTATAAAAGTTTCCTTGTAATTCCTTTAGCTTATTAATTAGCACCTTCATTAATTAGTTGGCTGAATTTTTTCATTGGCTAATGTGTTTCATTAACATTGGCTAAATAATTGCATACCACTGATGGCATCCCTATAATTGCATTTGCAAATATGGTCTTGTAGAATTTGTATCCCAATAGAGTTGTGTGTGTCTTTCTGCAGGTAATCCTGTCTATAGAGGAGGGCTACAGGCTCCCTCCGCCCATGGGCTGCCCCGTGGCCCTGCACCAGCTCATGCTTCTCTGTTGGCAGAAGGAACGCAGTCGGCGGCCACAGTTTAATGATGTTGTCAGCTTCCTAGACAAGCTGATCCGCAATCCCAGCAGCCTGCTCACACTGGTGGAAGATGTAAATAGGTAGAAGGATTACAACAACATTTCAAAATCAACATTTTAATTGCTTACTTAATTGCTTACTAGAATCAAAATGAGTGCCAGTGTTGAAATGATCATTTTAAACTGAAATTGTTAGTGTTTACTGACAGATAACTCTGATTACACTGAACTGGTGTCTCTTGCCTTGTTGGAAACGTGAGCCAAACTGTTATTGTTTCTCATTCAGTACGTGTTGTGTGTCTAAACAGCTTCCCAGAATCCCCAGAGGATATGCCAGACTACCCTCTCTTCATATCTATTGGTGATTGGTTGGATTCTATCAAAATGAGTCAGTACAAGAACAACTTCATAGCAGCAGGATACACAACCCTGGATTCCATATCCACCATGAGTATTGAGTAAGTGGAGTCAAAGCTACTGAGTGAAGTCCTGCTCATTGCTTTTTTTACACTCCATTTAGGTTCCAGGTGTTGTTTTGCATACAAACATGATCATGTTCACTCTGTTTGGTGGGTTTGGTTCAATTTATTTGGCTTGCTTTAAAAGACTATTCTGCTAATTTGCAATTATTGTCATCTAGCAAAGCAAACAAATGTTACATTTAAGTTGGGTACCACAGGGCTAAACACTTTAAGCAAAAAAAAAAATAATAATAATAATAATTAAATAAATAATTCACTACTACCATTGTGTATGATTGCAGAAAAAATATATAAATGTTTTTTTTTTTTTTTGACCATAGATGGAGAAACATATTTTGTAGGTAAATAAATCATACAAGTTGTTTTGTTTAAAAATCATTTAAATGTATTAGGTGGTGAGAGGGCCTTTTACCCCACTAATACATTACACATTACTGTTTTCAGTTTATTTTGATAAATACAATTATTTATTTTTGTTTAATAAATATACTGTCATTAAAGTGTTCATTGTAAAACAGGAAAAATATTTATAAAAAGGAAAGATTCTGAAAGCTTTTTGCACAATTTGAAGGAAATCCCATAATAATTCAATATGGCTTTACAGTAGTAAAAATAAATATATTTTATTATATCATATGATTAATATCATATTTTTGGTGGTTATGTCTAAGGTGCACACCCGACCTAATAAATTATATTGATCATCCATGTCATGTCAACAAATGGAAAATTCAGCCAGCTATTTATTATGATGTCAGCTATTGTGCTTTTGGCCTCAAAATAAAAAAAAAATACTTTTTTTCTTAAATTAAAAGACTTAGTCTCAAAACATATTATGTAATTTTATCAATTACCATTTGCTACCTAAATCTATAACATTTGGAAAAACATTAAATCTTTATAAAAACCCATTTCCACCACAAAATAAAGCAGTTGCAACTTTTTAATCTCACAATTCTGACTTTTTTCCTTGCAATTGCAAGTTTACATCCCGAGAAAAACATCCAAAGAAAAAAAATAAGAATTGTGAGATTTATTTATTAATTAATTAATTCATTCATTCAGTGGTGGAAACAAGCTCTCATAAAAATTATACCAAACTAGCACAGAACCAGCTTTGTGTTTCTGCTTGTGACTGCGTTAAGTACCAGCCAAATTTCCACATGTATATTGGACGTTTACAAATGTGCTGTGGTGAATTTTTTGCCATCTAGTGGTTAAAAGGAGAATAACATCAAATATGCCTTTTACCCTATAGGCTAGTTCATCTTTAGTCCCGTTGGGTTTTTCAAGCAGTAAATTACTTTTATCCTGTAAATATATTTATATTCACTTCATACTCATCATGAACTTGCCAATGAATTGGCAAGTTTCAGAAGTCTCATCCTGTTGTTTCCTAAACAGTGATGTGAGAAGAATCGGAGTGTCTCTGATTGGCCACCAGAGGAGGATAGTGAGCAGCATACAAGCACTACGCCTGCAGTTCCTCCACGTTCAACAGAGTGGCTTCCATGTATGAAAATCCACATATACACATACACATACTCTCATACAAGCGCTTCTCCCAGCATCGCTAGACCCCCAAAACACACACACACACACACACCCTTCAGGTCTGGACTGTCTGTCTGTCATCATGAGACATGCTCCACAGCCTCTGTTTCTATCATAATCCAGCAATCTCAAAGACCATGAAGAAACATGCCTAATGTCATGAATTGTTTGTCTTCTTGATGAACTGTGTGTAATAGGAAAACTGGTCCATTTACCCGGAGGAACCACAGTAAACAACGGAACAATGGCACCATTCTGTTGTTACGAAGATGTCATCTGTCAATCATCCTGCAAGTTCTGTGATTGACTGGACTCCAAACCTGAGAACTTTGAATAGCATATTTGCTATTTTAATGTATTAAATTATGTGTCTTAAGAGATTTTCCTGGTTTATTCATCAAGCCTCTGAAATGAGAGACTATGGATCTGTTGAATGTCTTCAGCTTTAAATGGCTATTATGCATTGTTTATCACATCTGATATTTATCCTGATATTTATATGTACGTGTGACTTTGTTTCTTTTTTGGTTGCCTTTTGTTTAATTCCTTTTCTAAGCAATATGTGCAGTCTTTAGAAAACCAAGAAAAGAGCCAAGGTAGGGGGTGGAGAGCTTTATCTTGCTCTGTTGAAAAACAAAAATGCCACACAAAACCATTGACTTCCTCAGGCTGTCAGCGAGGTGGTAAAAGTATGACCTTTCAGAAGACTGTAAGCCATTTTCTTACTCCTGTGCACCACAGTCAAATTGAACAAACTTAGACAAATCCATTCAGACCGAGATTTGAGAACTGCACACATTTGTTCAGTCTACTTTGGTGTACAGATTCTATAGACACTTCTGATATTTTATCAGTTTGCCTTGCAACGTTGAAACTATTGTCATATAGTCAGTGGAGAATATTTGAGGTGAAAGGTTGCAGTAAAATGTTCTCCTATAGAAGACATGACAATATAGCACTCTGCATGTTGGCAAGTATTTTTCCCAACACAGCAGGCCTACATACACGCATATCTTCAATGGCAACATACGCATTTGCAGTCTCTTTCGCTTCCAACAGACATACAAACGCACAATACTGTGCCATGTTCAGCTGATCCTTTTGGCTCTTTGTACCTGAACACATGTTCGGGACACTGAGACCACTTGACAAACTTCAAGTTGCAATGTGCAAATGTCAAAAGTGCAAGAGAACGTCTCAGGTTACTAATGTAACCATGGTTCCCTGAGTAGGTTTTTCAATGTATGCTTCAGACACGGGTCACGACGAGGCATTCCCCCCCATAGCGGCCCCTAGAGGACGCAGTTCGAAGTTCCCATGAAAGGGAACCGAGTGCTTACTTCAAGCAGGGCGAGGGAAAACTCTGGGCAATCAGGTCATAATGTATTGTTCATAGTAAACTAATTGTACATTATTTTTTATAATTTATAAAGAGTACAGAGAGATAAAGGTGATATAGGTTGAATGTTTGTAAAAATAAATGATAACCGATATTTCTTGTGTTTTTTGTGAGTCTATCACAATCAAAAAATTATTTATTATAATATGGACTGCGGTTTTGCTTTCTAATATATTACAAAACGAAATCATGAAGAAGCTACATGCAATTTAGTTGTTACAGTATTTGCAGGTCTTAAAGGAATAGTTCGCCCAAAAATGAAAATGTGCTAAAAATGTCACCCTCACCCTTAGGCAATCCAAGATTTAGATGAGTTTGTTTCTTCATCAGAACAGATATGGAGAAATGTAGCATTACATCACTTGCTCACCAATGGATCCTCTGCAGTGAATGGGTGCCGTCAGAATGAGAGCTGATAAAAACGTCACAACAATCCACAAGTAACAAGTTTGTAATAAACAAGTCCATCACAATGTTTTTAACTTTAAATTGTTGCTTCCAGTTAAAATCTGAGACATCTATCCATTTTATTGCTTTCTCTGGTGAATAAGTTGTTTTGTCTGAATCAGGAGAGAGAGATATGCACAGATCAAGCACCGATTACAAGCAAAAACAGTCCAAAAAGTGGATTTTGATGTGTATATACAATAAATTGAGATTTGATTAATCATCTTAAAATGTAATTAATTTGATTAAAAAATGTTAGCTATGTTGCTGTAATTACAGACCTTACTGACTTCAACAGTCAAATGTCTAATGAAACCCAGGCATCTATTTTCCCTAACGTCTAGGCATAATGAAAAAATGGACCCCAAATAGTGAGTTCACTATAGGGTTATTTTTTTCAAAAATAGGTTATTCTGGCTGGTTATTCTCTCTCCATTCCTGCCAGGAACTATATTGTGGGCTGTTACAAAATAGTGATTATCATGAATAAAATGCTTAGCTTGAAATACTATTTTTAAACCATTAATATGTTTATTTTAAATAATAATAATTATTATAATATAGCAGCTTATACAGTATGGTGTAAAGAATACCACGGTAATGGGTTGTGACACAGAGACCAAAGTTGGGTATACATCAATGAAAACTTGTTGTACAACAAGCTTTGCTTCAGTTAACCTGTGTTACAATTCGTTCTGGTCCCATTTATTAATTAATGTAATTGAATTTAAAATTAAAAAAACTTGACATTTTAATAATAAGGGTTTCTTTAGCCAAACTATTGGCACTTTTGGACCTGTGGTCATGTGTAATCATTTTAATATATTTAAATTGATATACGGATTTAGATATCACAGAAGAATTGTAATTTTTCTTTTCATTTGCTAGGCTCATTGTTCTGCCTAATTTCACAGCTCTTATTTTCTGTATCCTAAATACACAATTAAATAGGCTATTTTTTTTTTTACTTAAACATGCTTTTCACTGACACTGCAGGGAAATAAGGCATTTTCACACTGAATTTGTGAACGTTTAGATCAATATTATTTTAAATTCATAACATCAGATTTTTATAGTTTGAGATTGAATGTCTGGGTATTGGACAAAGGTAAAACAACATTATAAAGGCATTTTTAGAGGGTTTTTTCTAATTAAAAGAAAAAAAGGCAAACCCTGTGAAATAAAAATGCCAAAAGGTGAAGACGTTTTTGAAAGCTGCGTTTAAAAAAAATCAGAAATCATTACACTAACTAACCCTGCGATTTGTGGAAATCATTTTTTTTACGCAAAGCTACACTTCTGACGTTGTCCATATGATGGCGCTCAGTAGTAAACATGTGAGTCGAGAGAAAAGGCGTCATCGGTCTCCTAGCAGCGGTGTGTGGGAGAGTGTTACAGGGTTTCCAGGACGCCAGGTAAGTGTGTTTGCGTCTCTCCATCTGCACTGGACGCATATTAATGGGACTTATGCATGCGAAATCACATTTAACCTAAACATAGACAACATACAACTTGAGCAGAGCCGGAGCAGAAAAGTAAGTAAGATTTTTCCATGTAACGTTACAGCAGACTGAAAGAGCAGGTTAGCCAACCAGCTAGCCGTCATGTGCAACAAACATGAAAGCAGTAACCTTAGTTTAGCAGAAAATGCCAACCGTGTGGATGTGGATGTATTTGAGTGTTTAACAGAACAAATGGCAGAAATGGAAGTGTTTGGCTTATTTTAGCAGTATGATATCGTGTATGTGAAGCGCTAGCCCGTGTGCTAATAAACTCAGGATTACAGGCTGTTCTCGTAGATTACGCTTTTACTAGTGTCCATTCATGTGTTTCTGACCTACGACACTTAAACACGTTATAATGTCGCTATCTCTGCTGTCATTGCATTGATTGATTGATTGGTAGATGGATGCTTGGATGTGTAAGGCTATGTTTGCGACTGAAATATGCTTTTCATATAGGCTACACAACAGGTGGGCGTTTTCTTTAGACCCAAGAGGGCATGCAAATAAATTACTGCTGCGAGTTTACAGATTCACGTAATATATGCACGTAATTAATTAGGTTCATGTACTACAACCTTTAGTGCATGTTGCAAGCTGTGTGTCTGCTCGCAGCTCAAGTTAATTCACTTAAATCGGATTATTACAAAAGAAGAGAACAAGCTCATTTTCTTAGCAGACTAGCCACTGATAGCCAACGATGCCCCGTCTCCATCAAATACTAAAAGGTTTCAAATGATAACGTATTTTATTATTAAAACAGTCACATTAGTGTTGTTGTTGTTAAGCAGTTTATAATTGTAAGCCTATACTATATATGAAAACAAATCTAAATGTATTTATGAATATTAAATATTCAAATTCAAAAATAATAATACACAAATACAAGTAATCAATTAAAATGCAATAAATAATACATAAAGTAATAATATATTACAATAACAACATGGGTGTAAGCAGTCCTTTGCATCTGTGTGTATCAAGGATGCATTAAATAGATTAAAAAGTGACAGTAAAGACATGTTATTATGACGTTACAATGTTTATAATGTGAAAAAATATATTTCAAACCAGTGATCTTTTGAACTTTATTCAGAGTTTTCACAGAAATATTAAGCATGCAGCACAACTGTTTTGTGATAATACTATGAATTGTTTCTTAAGCATCACATTAACATATTAGAATGATTTCTGAAGGATCATCTGACACTGAAGACTGGAGTAATGGCTGCTGAAAATGTAGCTTTGTGACCACAGGAATGCATTACATTTCAAATAATATATGACCCAAATAAGAGTTTTCACCGGATATTGTCATCAGAACGACAACAAGCATATAAAAAAAGTAACAAGTGTGCCACGTTTGTTCTGACCAACTGAGGAAAAAAAGCATTACAATAAATCGTGCTACCAATAGTGATTTAATCTAAATTAGCTCATATCACATCAAACCGTGCAAATTATTATTATTGTTATACTTTATTCTCAAATTGTTAATGTTAACAACATCAGCATTGTGTGACTATGAGTATAGTGTGTATAAGCGAGTAGATTTCAATTTCTGTACAGTCTAATCTCTAATTGTCATACCATTCGAATTTCATATTAAGGAATTATTTTAACCCAAAAAGCAAATTATGCTCCCATCGAACTGGTTGTTTTTATAATACAAATCTTGTGTAATCCCAGGAATATAATATAATTTTATTCACATGTGTTTCATAAACACATAATCCTTTCTGGATTACAATCCGCCATCAAAATGATACATTTAATTATTCCAGCTGCTGTGAGAAAAGGCTATAAACGATCGGCCACCTGCAGGATCCTCACATAGCCTAGTAGCCGGGACAACTTCTTTATGTTTACAGAAGTGACGTAATGACGCAGTGCCATGCTCGAATTTCCCGCGAAAACCTACCCGTACCACTGAAATTAGAAAACATTATTATAAGCTGACTGTTGTGAATCGGGCTAAAGTAAGGCGATAGTTTCGAACACTGACTGGTTATGTACTTGCTAAAATATTGATTTCGGATCATTTTTAACCAAAAAAAGTTACGGACTGCAGCTTTAAGTAATTATTTTTAATTTTATTATTTCAAAATATACTGTTTTTACTGTTTTTCTGATTAAATAAATGCAGCCTTGATGAATATAAGAGACTTTAGCATAGCATAATTGTCTCCCAACTCTTTCAAAAACATTCAAAAATCTTACTAACTTATAACTTTAAGTGTCACAATTAGCTGGAATTCATATTATAATTAAACAAAACAATATTACTTGTAGTAGCAGAAGATAGTATTTTATTTGTTTGTTTTTAAACAACTGAGAACTCAGCAACTGGTGCCTTGCTGAAAAAAGAGACGTTTCTGTTGTCCCAAATTGTTTGTCAGCCTCTGGATGCATCTAATGAATAATCTAATGGAGCTTGTCTTTGATGCGATCTCTTTCCAGAAGCGTCCCATCCAAATAGGCGAATGGGGCTTTTTGACAAGCTTGCAGGGTGGCTGGGCCTGAAGAAGAAGGATGTGAACGTGCTATGTTTAGGTCTGGACAACAGTGGAAAAACTACCATCATCAACCAGCTAAAGCCATCCAATGTATGTCTCACCTGTCTGTAAACCCGAATATGACATAGTTTGGTCTTCACCAGTTTTGTTTTTGTATATTCACTTGATTTCTGTTTTGTATGTGAGCTCACAATTGTGATATTGCCTTTGTTCCTTGCAGGCTCAGGCTCAAGACATTGTCCCAACTATAGGTTTCAGCATAGAAAAGTTTAAGACCTCAAGGTGAATATTTGAAAGCGTTAACTATA